ACAAGGAGCCTGTCAAGGAATGGAGAAGCATGGGAACTGCTCTGGGACCCTCCTCACCTTCCACGGCTCTGTCAGGCATATTGGAAATTTGTCCGTCCCAGTGAGCAACAGCCTTGAGCATCTACTGGGTGTGTCTGGAACACTGGGGCAAAGAGAAGGTGTGGACTAAACACCAGCCCTGCTCCTGCAGCTGCTCTGAGACAGTGCTCCGGGAGGGGATGCAAACAGCCAGGAACTGAGGGGGAGTCTGTCTGCAGCCAGGGGCTCAGCCTGGACTGCTGGGCTGGGTAGGATGGGATGGTTTTCTGACAAAGCTTTAAGGCTTGTCAGGTGTGCCAGAGAGGAAAGGAGAATTTCCATGTGTGTAGTTCATGGTTCCAGCTTTGTTTATTCTTCAGGAATTGCTTCAGCCTCAGTAAGAAGGACTCACTGTTTGCAGGCACAGCATCATTTCCCCCAGCACACTGTTGTTCTTGAATTGCACACCAGAACCTGGGAAGGAAAGAGGAGGAGAGAGGGGGAATCCTTCACCCTCATGAGTCAAACCCCCATCCTGCCTCCTGGAGTGCTTCTCATTCTGCCAGTGGTCCATGTTAGTTCTTGTTCAGAAGTTGCTCCTGGAAGTCTGAGAGGGTGGGGAAGAAATCCTCTCCAGCTGTTTGTGGTACAGTGGGACAGGAGGGTGATGACTCCTGCCACTCTGCTGCCTTTCTCTCTGAGTTTTTAAGGTTCATAACACCTGGGAAGCTTTCTGCTTGAAACATGCTTTACCAGGATGACCCAAAAATATAGGATTTGAGATCTTCTGAAAATCCTATTTGTGTTCTACCTGTGCCATGGGCAAAACAGAATCCTCTGCTGAACCTCTACCTCTGCTATGGTTTAGCAGAGAGGCTGTGTCTGGCAAAAATTAGTTGGGCCACAGAAAAATAAGGATTTGACCTGTTTGGCTGTGCTGCAGCGAGGCTCCCATGAATCTGGAAAAGAGGGAATGATGAAGAAAAGAAGAAATTATGGAAAATGAGTACTTGGAGACCTGGAAACCACCATGGCATTGGTCTCTTGTCATAAACCAGGTTCTTTTCTCTTAGACTGATTCCTGCTTCCTAGAGAGACCAGCAGGCAGAGGCTCCTGGCACATATCCATGTCTGGGCACACAGATTCTGTGTGAAGACAGCTGGAAGGCTGGGACAGATGTAAATGTCTGATCTGCTCCGTGGTACAGGTTGCAGAGGCTGCTCAGGGCGCTGGCTGCAGCAGTGGAGCTGCATGGGGGGGCTGGAGAACAGCAGGGCTGTGGGGCAGGGCTGGGCTGGCATCACAATCACCCCTGCCTCAGGGGCTGTCCATCCCTCCTGCCAAAAGGAGCTTTCTTAGCACCTTGGTTCTGGCACCTGTGAGCCTCTATTCCACAGCCTGGAAAATGAACACCCTGCCAAGGTGGGGCTGCTGTGCTGCCATCAAATCAGTGCCCCTTCCACATCTGCTTGTGGCAGTACATGAAAAGATCACAGTGCACAGACTGTTAATTTTTCAGATTGCCTGAGATGCTGTGCAGAACTTTATGCTGCCTATCGATCACCGTTGTGGTGGTTCTGTAATTGAAGGACCTTCAATGAGAAGTGTGGATAAGTGGAACTAAAGGCATTATATTGTTTCACAGCCCCAAGGATAATCTCTGAGCCTTGTGTTTGTGTTCCCTCTAAAATACAGCACTTAAATAAATACTTGGGTTGTCTTTCTAAACTGGATCCAGGTGCAAGGCTCAGTTAATTGAATGTGTCTTTTCTCTCCACCAAGGCCCTCGCCAGGTTTTACCTCTAATCTTATCTTGGTGATTATACTCAGGTGATTGCCATCACCTCCAGCACACAGCTCCAGTGTGGCACCTTCCCAAAGGCATTGGCAGCAGCTGGCTGGCTCTGACCAGGTGCTTCTGGCCACGTTATTCCTGCCCTAGGAGGTGCCTCAGCAGAAGAGCTGCCAAAGTTGCTTGTGTGCCTTTGGTGGCACTTCTGAAGGGCACAGCCCCTATGTGATGTTGCTGAGGGCAAAATCTGCCCCCAGCTCATTTTGAAAGCAGTTCATGACCACCATCCACCTGTGTGCTTATTTTAGTGAGCACTGCCAGGTGTGCTGTCACCATCTCACCTGACCCTGATTAATTACTTATTTATATTACTCGAATCTTTCTGCCAAGAAAATGACGGGGTAGTAAAACAAAATGCAGCATTACAAACATGCAAAGGTACAGGGAGTGAAGTGTGTAATTCCCACAGCAATGTGGTGAGGCTGGAGAGGAAAACCATCACTTGGGAAAGGACTGGGAAGTGCTACTGACACCACCTCACTCTGGGGCCTTGGTTAAATCATTTACTGCTGGTCCCAGTTTCTACACCCCTTCAAGTGTGTGCCCTGACACAGTGAGAATGAATAATTTATTCACATGTGATGTATGGCATGTGCTGCTCCTGGGTACTGCTATTAATGAGAAAAAATGAGATTAGTTCCTTATTTCGCAGTGCTGAAGGTTCACGTGTAAAGTGCTCTGAATTCAGGGAGCATTCCATATGTTGTCATACGTTCCTGCTTTATTACTGCATGGCTGAGGGTCTCTGATGCCGTGGGAATAAGGACTAAAGCGCTTGATGCTTTAATATTTTAGCCACAGCATCAGCTAATCAATTTCTAGACTGTATGTGTTAAGATGAAAAAGCAGTAAACTCAAGCGATACCTTAAGACTAGAAACCTCTTTTAAATATCACAGTGAACTTAGATAAACCTAAAGGCAAATAGGTGTGTCTGGTTTGCCTTCTATTTGCTGAACCGTTCTGTTGGTTCAGGAGATGAAATAACAGCAGTTTCCTCCGGTCCCCAGTGCAGAAAGCCCAGCACATGCGGGGGTGTCACGGAGACACAGGGCTGCGAGAGTAAGGGCTGGGGGTCCTGCGAGAAGGGGAGGATATTATCAGCTCACAGACTCTGGAGATGTTGGCTCCTGCCTTGCCTGTTTGTCGCCCTCCTGCTCGGCAAAAGGCAGCGCCTGGTGCGTCCCTGCCTTCCCCCTGCGTGCCTGGCATCTCGGCAAGTCCTCAGCCATCCTGAGATGAGGCAGCCTCCTCCCGGGAATGGGCATCTGAAGGTAAAGCGTAGTTTTAGACGCTGTTATTAATACCGTCATCACGAAAATAACTCGGGAAAGCTGCTGCGGGCCCTGAGGTGGTTCCTATATCCGCTATGGAGAACCGAGCCGGATGGACAGCGCTGGGAGCGAGTTCCACTCCCGGGCTCCGGCAGAGCCGTGCGCGGGGGGTGACACCCGCTCGGGCCCAT